ATGAAAAATAAAAATTTAAATTTAGATCTATATTTTCATAGAAAAGAAGTATAATGGTGTGATAAATGACTTCTAGAAATCAAAATATATTTGGATAAAATTCTATGGAGAAAATGGCAAGAGAATACAAGTTCAAGATGAAAAAGGAATAATATGCAATGTCCAACTGTTAAATCGTATATTCATATGTTTTTAAATGACTGATAGTGGATTATTCAATCACTATAGTATTGAGATTTTACCTGAAACATTTTTTTAAAAGAAGGATAGTTTTATTTCAAAGTATCAATGAATACATCAGAAATTACATCCTTTGAAAGGATGAAAATTTTTACAGTTAACATAAAAATGTTTGAATTCATAGTTTTTCGAAATTATTTTCCATGGTGCATAAGCAAAGGAAAGAAAGCATGATATAAAAGCTTTGAGCTCCTGTGGATTCTTCAGTATCTAACTGCAAATGTATTCCCTACAGGACTTGATAAGCTATGGGGGGAATGCACAGAGTGACTGACAGGGAGATGGTGAGGGGCATCCTGGAACAAGTGCACAAGACAGTGATAAAGAACTGGGGAAGTTATAAAACAGAGACATGGCAACAAGAAGGGCATGGAACGCTTTGATGGAAGCGATCCCCAACAGGGCACAAGGATCGGCTACTGCTAAATGCCAGATAAAAGGAGTACAAAAAGATTGGTCTTCTCATGATGTACAAGTTCAAAGCTGCCCAGGAACAAAAACATGACCCCAAACAAAGGAAGGCCACAAAATATCTTTTCAATTTCAGTATTTCTGAAAGAATGTGCAAAAACAAACAAACAAATCATGACTCATATTTTTGTTTTTGAATTTTAATGTTTCTTCTTCGGCTTTAAGTCATTCAAGGGACAGTGGTTTTTATTCCTTTAATTATTTCAAGAAACTCTTGAGAAACACATAGAATTTTAAAGATGAACCTCTAAAAACCATATTAATTAAAATTAAAAAGATATAGTTTGGCTGCTTTCTCCTGGTACTTAGCGGAAGGCTCTCATATCTTTGAAAACAGTGAATTAAAACAGTACAAAAAAGGAAAATATATTCGGGACAGCAATTCTTCCCCACAAGCAAAAATGACAGCATCAACAGTCAACGTAGGCCAAGTGAACCAATTTTTCTCTCACCTGGCAACTCCACCACCACCCCACCCCATGAGGAACCCTTGGTTCTTTGTTGAATGGCTCTCATACAAAGAAATTCTACAATTACATCCGATTTGTGTAAAAACATGACTGACAGCAGTCACTCTGAATTTGGACAGGACATCCCTAACTTCAGCCAGCTGAGGGAGGTCTAATTAGGCAAGCGCTCCATTATCATTCTCTTATGTTTCCAGTCTCCTTTTGAACACTGAGAAAAGGTTTCAAGGCCAGCCTAAATCACTTTGATATCAGAGGGAAAGGAATTTAACAGTTAAGAAACTCCTAATGACTTAATGCAGGTATCATCTACATCAGAACAATGAACAGTTGGCAGGTGTGGAGCAGAGCAGACAGAGCTTGTTTGTGAAACCACTGAGTGCTTGGGAAGAAAGAGGATGAGAGGTCTGTAGAGCAGAGCTATGAAGGCAAGAGCACATGGCTGTGGTCTCAGGCAGCAGCTGCCCTAATATAACTGTCATCACTCCAACAGTAGCCTCCTACCCACAAACCTACTCTAAACTGCTGAAGGACCACATCAACCTGAAAAGAGATGACCAGTTTCAAAAGAAAGGGACCTCAAAGGAGTTGTGTACCTTACAACTGCAGATTACAACATTTCTCCCCATTAAAAAAAGAATGGAGGTGGGACCCACAATTTAGAACTGCTCTGGTATTCTTAGAAGGGGGTGGGTGTTCTTCCAATAGAAATGTAAGTTTTTGCCTTTCCTCTAGGAGATAGTTGCTGACACAGATAAGGAAATAGTTTTAAATACCACAATATGGTTCAGACTATGAAGAAAAAAGCACTCACAAGCTACTACGGGAGCTCACCAAAGGCCTACTTAATCGAGCCTAAGGGGTCAAGGATACATTCAAGGAAGAAGTGATAACAGGAATAAGCCTTGAAGATGCAAGAAATGAGATGTATGAAGACAGAAGGGGAACATGGGTGAGTGCAGAACATGAGGGCAAGCAGCAAGGTGGGGAAATGCACATGATGAGATCACCAAGGGCCCTGTATATCATGCTAAGACATTTGGAATTGAATTCTAAAGCAACTGGGAGCCATTAAAAATGTTTAAGCAAGCAAGTGACATAATCATATTTAATCTGCAGAAAGTTTCCTTCACCTAGCAACAGCATAGACATAGGAATGGAAAGGGATATGGTCAAAGGGAAGTCCAGAGGCTGCTGCGGTAACCCAAGTGAGAATTATGAGTCTGAACTAAAGGGGCAGCAATGGGACTAGGAAAGAACAGTCAGATTCAAGGGATTATTAAGAGGTAAAAATTAATATACCACTAATCACCTGGATGCAATAGTGTGCTGCCTTTAAAAAAAAAAAAAAAAGAAAAGAAAAAGAAAGAATGCCCTGACTTATAGCATTTGTCAATTTTTATGGTGTCAAAACTCCCATAATGGCCATTTCAAACTTCCAATATAAAGTCACTGAATTTGGAGACTGGAAGAAATCTGCACAATCAGCTCCCACAAGCCAATGTGAATGAGCTACAGCGCCACTGCCAAATGTGAAAACTGAGAAAAGAGAAGAGTCCAGGAAAATTCTAGGCCATCCCTGGCTTGGGGACCTGGTCAGGGTGGGAAATGCAGGAGGTTAACTACAGTTACTAAGTTCTGTTTGGGACACAGTGAGTGAGAGGAACCTATAACTTTCGTTGTAAAGATGTCCAGTAGGTAACTGGATCTATGGGTTCTGAATACTGCAGAGAAAAATCTGGCTACACTACAGTTGGGATGGAAGCTGGGAGAAACTGTGCAGACCCAAAAGAGAAGAGAGAACCCTAGAAAATACTAACATTAAAGGGATGAATAGAGAAAAGATTGATTAAGATATCTGAGGACCTTAAATAAAAGAATATCTCAGGACAAATTTCCCAAATAGCCAATTCTCTGATAATCAGTTCACCAAAGAATTAACTCATTAAAGGTATCAAATTTGCCTACTTTTAAAACCTATTTCTTTTAATGATTTCTAAAGATGAGATGGGCTTATTTTCAACAAATTGGCCTGGGTGAAGACAGGAAGCCAAAAGAGAAGGAATAATCAATGGCACCAAGCAATACATAAGAGGTCAAGAGCTAAGAGAGGACAAAGGTTCCCAGGCAACTGTACCAGTCTCCACAGAATGGTGGTGTTGGAAGATTCCAGTGGAACAGTGAATGGAAAGAGAAGCAGAGAAGGTACAGAAGCTTTCATTAAACAGAGGAGAGGAGAGAGCAATACCTCAGGGAGAAGATGTTGGTTATTACTTTTCTTGTGCTTAACCTGTGAGACTCAAGTAGGTTTACATACTGAATGGAAAGTTCCAGCATTTAAAGAGAAACAAGCAATAAGCAGAAGGGTCAGAGTAATTGATACCCTGATACTCCAGTAAAGGAAGTGGGAATGAGACTTGGAGTAGAGGTTAAGGGGAAGATGCATACTTCCTCACCCCTTTCTAGAGCAATCTTTCTGTCAGGTCAGACAATCCCTGAGTTTCCTTTTACCATGACAATCAAGGTATGTGTCATCTACTTAGAGGCTCTAATGCAATTCCACGTGAATCTCAATAGAAAATTTTCAGAATGTTGGCTGAATTCACTGGAAGCAAGAACCAAATCTGGAAATATGCTAACCTTGTAACTTGTTTTCATAGCCCTATCATTAAGTGCAAAAAACGTTTTTCTCATTTTTCATTGTCCCAAACCCTTATCCTCACTGTCGCTTTCCTTCCTTTGCAATATCCTACACCTCCCAATGGTTTCCCACTTCACCAGGCCAAGAAGAACATGTTTTGTTTTTACTCAATACATTCAAAACTTACTTTACAAGTATTTAAAGCCTACAATGATTTATTCTTACACTTGAAACACTGATTTTGTATAAATGCACCAAATTCTCACAAATCAAGTCAGTGGCCTACTTAAAGATCACCAATATTATATCTGCATTATACCAAGTCAAAATTGTTACCTAACCATTATTGAGGAGCTGTCAGTTCTTATTATAAACTTACTTTCTTAATATGTTGGATTATGTTCTAGTCAACTGAGGATCCTCTCTAAATTAGAGTTAGCAATTTGCCAAAGGAGTCAGGGATAAAATCATATAGGACTCTAACATGGTAATACAACATCCTGGTCACTACATCGTTTAACACATTTCTCCTGCTATTTTTTTCTACAGGAATCCAACTGAGAAAGTTCATGTTCACTGTTGTTGTATAAGTTTTATCTCTCCTTTGTAGTCAAAGGCCAGAGAACAGTGAGATAAGCCAGGTCTTGAAAAGAGAGAAAACCCCCCAGGAGAAATTCCACACACACCTAGGACAAAACAAAGACTGCAGAATAAACTGGTTAGTCAAAGCTTGGCAAAAAGAAAAGGTCTACCCCAGCGTACAGGTTCAATTCAGCTCTCAAATGATACAACAGAGATAATGATGCTTTTATTTAAGGATTATATTTGCTTTTTTTACATACTGTTTAAAAAAATAAATACTTCTGGTCTTTAGAGAATTTATATAGGTATCAATTCTCAAAGGAAAATTTCGGACTCTCAGGCGAGAAACTACTGCTACATAATGGACAAAGCTGTTTGGCAAAATGAGGATAATTGCTTCAAGTAGGAAATTCTACAAACAACACAAAAGAAAACCCAAGAGAACCACCATTAAACAATATATTTTGAGGTTATTAAAGGGGATTCTACTTTTACCTTGAAAAACACATCTAGTGGAAAATCAAGACTTAGGCTAGTTACCAACATGGGCATTCTTCTTTTTTTTCTTTTTTTTAAAGGAGAACAAATCAGTAACCTACCGTCCGTCTGAGATTTACTGAGGAATATTGTGCTGGCCCGAGGATGGTCCGAAGGATTGAATTCCATGTTCAAATCTTTAAAGAAAGAAAAAGAAAATACATGAATCTGATAACTGAGCAGAGTCAAAATTCATTTTCAATTTTTTCAACCTTAAATTGCTAATATATTCAAAGAGTCTGGGGAAAAAAGCCTACAGTTATTGTGTTAATAGATTCTTCTAGGTTCAACTGAGAACACTGCTATTTAGAAATCTGAGAAAATCATACATCAAAATTAGATACTTGGCTGGAGATCTATTAGCCTAAAACTACTTTTTCTTTTTAAAAGTCTGCTCCACACCCAGCATACTACAAATTCGCAGAACAAAGTTATAACACGCAATTAAGAGTTCTATGCTATAACTGATTCATCTAAACTCTAGTTTAGTGATATTTCCTTGTTAAAGGTAAGGAAAAATAATATAGCTCAGCTTTAAGCAGAATCAGCATCTACACACTCTGCTTCACTGTTACTTTTTGAAAAAGCAAAACTTACCCGTTAGAGCAAGGGCTGCAAATTGGCTATCTATGGGCATAACCTGGGCTGTGGATGTACTTTGTTTGATCCATACATTTTATTTTTAAATTTATCTATTTGAGGCAACATATAATAACTTTTATGTGTCAGATATATACCACCAGGAAAAAAAAATCCATATTTCCAGCTTCATGTGAGAAATCAGATCATTTGGCAACACTATGCCTCCATTCCAATTGGCCACAATCTGTTGGAGCACTGTTAGACCTAAGGCTCCAGTCCCCAGTGGTCAACCCTATCACTTTGCTGACAGTCATCAGGTGCTGCTCCTCACTTTTGAACATTCCAACCTCTATGGGCATCTGCTTTTGTAATCCCTACCTTAGAGCAATCTCCAAAGGCTAGAGGCTTGTCAGTAAAATATGTAAACAATAAGAATCCCGTAATAGAAGTTTTCCAGTTAAAAATTGATTCATAGGGAACGAGAGACTGGGTAAGCAAAACAAAAGAATTAAGTTAGGGAGGATTCAGGTCAAGAAGGCAGACTAGGTAGACATTGTGCTGGCCTCATCTAACTACCACATCAAAATTACAACTAAACTACAGAACAACCAATATTGAAAATCTCATAAAGTCTAGCTGAACAGAAGTCTTACAAATAGATATATAGGAGAAGCCACCTTGAGACTGGTAGGAGGGGTGAAGACATGAAATGGGCTGGTCTCACACCTGCATGTAGTAGTTAAAAATCAGGAGGAATATCTTATCTGAGGTTCCCCAGAGGAACAAGGTGTCCCAGCCCCACACCAGGCTCCCCAACCCAGGATCCAGTACTGGGAAGGGAAGGCCCCACAAAATCTGGATGTGAAAACCAGCGGAGATTGTGGCTGAATGAGACAGGAGGGCTGCAGGAGTTCCCAGCGTGCCTCTTAAAGGGCCGCTGCATGGACTTACCCGCTGACAAACTCACTCTGAGCTTCAGTACTGGGGCGGCAGCTCAAAAAGTGCCAGGGATATCTGGGGAGGAACTGAACTGTCTGGTTTCAGGGCAAGGGCTGGAGGGACAGCTTTCTGCCAGACAGAAGCAAAGGCTACTGTTCTTTTGTTGAGCCCTCCACCCTCCTAGCTTGCAGACTCAGGAAGCCCGCATATCTGAATCTCCATCAACCTGACTAACACTGGTCGCCCCACCCTAATGTTTCCCTGAGACTCCGCCTCTCCTAACTTGCGGGTCTACCCAAGCGGCCTCTAGTGGCTTTTCCATACAAACAGCCTATCTTGGCACATGCTGTGGGCCAATGTTCTCAAAACCTAAACAAGCAGCAACTGGCCTCAGCATGTCCTGTACCTCTTGCTGAGCAGCCTCGAGCCCAGCATTATCTGGCCTTGGTTCATGGCTTGACCTCTCAAGGCACCTCTCTAAGCCCACTGTGGGTGGCAACCATCTGTGGACTGCTTGGTAGCTTATGAGAAGTGGCCCCAGGCGAAGACACCGGCTGTGGCTGAACTTGGCCTGCAGCAGGATGCCTCCCCCTGCACACCTTGTGGCCGGCTTCCGGCTGAGGAGGAGCAGCACACTGGGGCCACATCCAAGGACAATGCACCTAAAGAACAGACTGGGTAGGCACTACAGCCCTGCTACAGCAAATCCTGCTCAGTAGGGTCAGCCCCTGAATAACAGCTCCTCCACTGTAGTCACCAGCCAGTCCTTACAACCAATCAGCCCAAGGGGCACTCTCTCCCACTGACATGCAAACAGCAACCAAGGCTGAACTACAACAGCAGGGGACTCAAACACATACAAGGGACACATCTAGAGTACCTGACTCAAGTGACCAGGAAGATTGTACCACTGGGCACCAGAAGGATACCGACTATATAAGGCCACTCAACTAAGATCAGGAAACATAGCTGTCCTACTTATTACATAGAAACAAACAAAGGGAGGCAGCCAAAATGGGGAGACAGGACAAAGCTCCAGAAAAAGAATGAAACAAAATGGAGACAATCAAAATACTGGTTATAAGGATGCTCAGTGAACTTAGGAGAAGAGCAGATGGACTCAGTGAGAACTTTAACAAAGGAATAGAAAACACAAAAATGGAGATAGAAAACACACACACACAAAAAAAAACAGTCAGAAATAAAGAATACAATAACTGAAATGAAGAATACAGTAGAAGGACTCAGCAGCAGATTGGATGAAGCAGAGGATCAAATCAGCGATTTAGAAGATAAGGTAGCAGTAAACATCCAATCAGAACAGCAATAAGAAAAAAATAATCCAAAAAAATGATAGTTTAAGGGGCCTCTGGGACAACATCAAGCACACCAACATTCACATCATAGGGACACCAGAAGGAGAAGAAAGCGAGCAAGGGATCATAAACTTATTTCAAGAAATAATGACAGAAAACTTCCCTAACCTGGCAAAGGAAATTTCAGACATATAAGCCCAAGAAGTCCAGACCCCACAAGATGAACTCAAAAAGGCCCACACCAAGACACATCATAATTAAAATGTCAAAGGTTAAAGACATTCTTAAAAGCAGCAAGAGAAAAACAACTAGTTACCTACGAGGGAGCTCCCATAAGACTGTAAGCTGATTTCTCAACAGAAACTTTGTATGCCAGAAGAGATTCACACAAAATATTCAAAGTGATGAAAAACAAGGACCTATAATTAAGATTACCTAGCAATGCTATAATTTGGAATCAAAGGACAGATAAAGAGCTTCCCGGAGAAGAAAAAACTAAAGAAGTTAATCACCACCAAGCCAGTATTACTAGAAATGTTGGAGGGACTTTTTAAAGAAGAAAAGTTGAAAATATTAATAATAAAATGGCAATAATTACACAGCAACAATTACTTTGTAAATGAATTAGGGGCTCCAATAAAAACAAAGCATGGCTAAAAGGATAAGAAAACAAGAGCCTTACATATGCTGCCTGCCTACAAGAGATTCACTTCAGATCAAAAGATGCACACAGACTGAAAATAAAGGGATGGAAAAAGATATTTCATAAAAATAGAAACAAAAAGAAAAAAAGCTGGAGTAGCAATAATTACAAAAAAGTCGACTTTATGACTCTCTATGGCTCTAACAAAAGACAAAGAAAAACCCAGTTATTCCACTTCTGGGTATTTATCCAAAGAAAACATTACTTTAAAAGGACATAAGAACATATATTCACAGCAGTATTATTTACAATAGTCAAGATATGGAGACTTCCTGGGTATCCATCAATGGATCAATGGATAAAGAAGAGGTGGTACATATGTATAATGGAATATTACTCGGCTATAAAAAAGGAATGAAATCTTGCCATTTATAACAACATGGCTGGACCTAGAGGGTATTGTGCTAAGTGGAGTAAGTCAAGACAGAGAAAGACAAATGCCAAATGATCTCATTTATATGTGGAATCTAAAGAACAAAGTAAACAAAACAGAAACAAACTCATAGATACAGAGAACATTTTAATGGTTGCCAGATGGGAGGCAGGATGAGTGAAAAAGGTGAAGGGCTTAAAAAGTATAAATTAGAAGTTTAAAAATATTTATGGGGGTATAAAGCATAGCATAAGGAATATAGTCAATAATGTTGTAATAATTGTGTATGATGTCAGATGGGTACTAGATTTATCAGGATGATCACTTCATAAGATATATGTCTAATCACTATGGTGTACATCTGAACTAACATAATATTGTATGACAACTGAAATTGAAAAAAAAGAATTATTTAAAAAGAAAAAAAAGAATTAAGTTAGGGGAGGGAAGAGAGAACACTAAAATTATTAAAAACTCAACATGTTCTTCAAATCAGCTTCTAGCTTCAAAATGAAAACTATTTTGAGTTTAATTATTTCAATAAATTTGCAAAGAAACCCAATCGGCACCCATAAAAACAGACGGCATCCAACCTTAGCTTTAATAGCTAATCAAAGATAAAAGGAAAAAAAAAAAATGACAAGGATGGTCATACATATATATACCAAAGGCAACACTTAATCACTTATCCAGAGACTTATTCAACAAGCCTTTCAAGTGAGGCAATTATTCCTACATCAGCCAATTTTTCCTACATGGCTTACTGGATGATATAGCTCCTGACTTCTCACTGGGTCCTTCATTAAAGAAACGCCTATTGAATCTTAAATGCTATTTCAATTATCTGGCCCTTCTTCTATAACAAGTACTAAAACTATATGGAGTACAGTATAGTCTCACAGTTAAAAGGCACTGGTGTTTTGATGGAAGGAGAAAGATAAGCAAGAGAGACGATTTTTCAAACTTGCCACAATTTGAACTGGAAGAGGTTAGGCCAGAAATTTCTGGTGAAAATGAGTCTTTATGAGGGAGTTTCCTGCTCAACTAGGATTTTGTTATAATAAAGTTAAATAAAAAATATGCTACTAAGTTACTGTTTTGTGTCTTTTTTTTTTTTTGGAGGACTTTGGCATATGAAATATTAGAGCATTTATGGAATCCCAACCATGATGGATGTTGTTAACATCCAAAAATCCTCTCATGATCCCCACAGAAAAGTATCAG